CATCTAAATATTGCCCCCAATCATGATTCCTCAACTCCCAGTTAGTTCAGTATTCCTCACTTCTCTGTCTGTGTACCAGCAATCTTATGTGACAGGATTTAAGTGTCATCTTTGACTCTTCCAAATGCTTTACAGACCTCAGAGTGGTCATCTTGGCCCCCTCCCACATTCTATATCCAGATTGCCTGTTACACTGATATAAGTGACTGAGACAGGGTCTCTCTGTGGTGTTCTGAAACAGTGTGGCTAATATATTCTGTGCAGTCCCTAGCATTCTTTTGGAGGATCTTAACACAGCTCTGACATTGCTGGCTGCTTATAATAGGCACCTGAAGGGCTGAAGAGTTTCTCACAACGGGGATGGTAGTAGGAAAGGGGCAGCAATACAGAGAGATGAGGAGTTTCCCAACAGAAACCATTAGGCTTCTCAGCAAAGATGAGAGATATGTGGCCCAGGGCATGAGTGGCAGAGATTCCCCCCATGGCCTTTCTTTATCTGTCCCTCATATCTGCTCCCACCATGCCCTACAATCACATTGTCTAAGAGCTTTGTGAAACTCATATTTTCATTCAGTCAATGCACCTAACTCCAGACAAGCCACATAGCAAAACTCTGCTGTTTCCTAGAGTCCGATGCCTGTGTTTCCTCATGAAGTTGGCACAGTATCACCCACACTTCTTGACCAATCTTCAAGTCTCATCCAGGGACTTCTGATCTCCTGACACCTGTTTTCCCTGTTGTGTCTAGTCACTGAAGGCGCTTAATAATAAACATTATTTGAGACAACAAGGAGATCCTGTCCAGTTGGGAATAAAGTGAGGCCACACAGAAACAGTTTTAGGTTGTATTCTGGATTAAATGTTTCTAGTGAGATTTCATCTACTTCCCTCATCACTGTAGTTTATATTGGAAAGGAAAGGTGTCTTGCAGAGAAAACCAACCTTAATATTGGGCTATGTGCTCCCCCAGCAGGAAGCTCAATACAAATCCCTTTCTTCCTGATTGCAGAATGAAACCTAGAGGTTTGGCAGCACCTGCCTCTCTTTGGTGATGTGGCATCCCTGCTCTGCTGAGGACGCAGATGGAAAAACCACTAGGCAGAATCCCACCTACCACCATCTTCTTCCCTACTGCAGCTCCACCTCAAAGTTGCTAAGCATTAAACTGAGTTTAGTGCATGGACTGCAAGGTTTCTTGACACCAGGAGATGTCTTCCCTTGGAGGAAGCCTTAGGGCATTGGCGCATGTGCAGTGGGAGCCAAGGTGCAGATTGGATGGAGTCCTTTCCCTATAGGGAGTCTGTAGGATTGCAGATACACCAAAGCATTTCATGAGTCCTTGGTGATCAGTGTTTGCATTGCTATCTCATAGTGTAAAACCCATGTGGAATCCTAGTAAGGGCCCAGGAGTGTTGCTGATCTGGAAGGCCCTTGAGGGCGAGCACATGACTTTGTGACAGGAGAGTGCTGTTTCCTGGGGGTGGTGCTTAAGGGTTTTTTCCTCCCAATGCCCAGGGCAAATGCTTGTAGATGCCAAGCCACTCTTCTTGTTTCATGCCCAGTACAATCCAGCTGAAGCCTCCCACCTGGACTGCAGGGTCTTCTCTCCAGTTGTGTCTTGAATACTTGAGGATTTGTCTCCAAGAAGCTGCCCGGTCTAACATGGACAAGAGCTGGGGGCTGCTTTGTCCAGACAGGCAAAAGAGGAGTGCCTCAGGAATACACCAAAAAGAGAAACCCTGGGTGCTTGTGAATGTCTGGGCTCCAAGACTGGCCAGCTAGATCACATTGTCAAAGAGCTTCATGGAACTCATGATGTTTTCATCCTGGAAGGAAGAAGATAGCAAATCAGAATCTTGTGTACGGGGAAATGAGGCAGAAGGGTTGGACCTGATGCTTCAGGGTTGCTTTTGTCATGGAAGAGAGCAGCAGAGACTGATATTCATGGAGCGTGACCAGTGTTTGTGGGGACATGGTGGCTAGGAACTTTCAGTTTGCCCGGGTAGGCATGGTTTTCATAGCCAGGAGTGAAAATATGAGGTCTTTCTGATATACTAGCACCTCTCTTTTAGCTGAGTAGGTTCTGGCAGTCTGTTGCTTTCAGAACCCAAGACCCAGACTGGCTAAGATCTTTTTACACACGTAGGAGGGAGAACTGAAAAGGAGCTGTTCCTTCTGTGTGTGAGAGGGTGGGGGGAGTGTGACCATACAAAGGACAGCATCCTCTTTAAGCATACCCCCATTTTAATCTCCCAACAGGGAGGGGAGATTAGATGTTCAAGTATTGTAACCTGCAGCTCTGGTTAGCAATCTTTCATTGCTTTTATTAGTCTGTACCATAGTTCCGTACTCTGTATTTTCTCTAAAATTTTGCCAGTAGAATAAAGCCTGTATTTGTTTAACAGATAATCAGTTACCTTGATTCCTACCGATGTGCTCCACTGTGGTATTTGACGTTCCCGCAGGCACCAAACTGGTGAGGGGCAAAGATCAGGAGGTGACAGTGGCCTACTAAAAGGAAGGGCTCTTCGCTTAAGAGGGGGTTGGGGAAGCTTCCTGCTGAGAACAGTGGGTTTCCTTCAACCAAAACAACTTCCAGTCTAATTGCTGAGCAGGGCTGGGCCTTGCCTGCTTGCTTGAGGGCTGTTTGCCTGAGCCAGTGACAGTGGCCAGTCGGGTGGTGGGGAAGAAGCAGTACAGACCCCTCACTCACAAGCTGTGTCTTATACAATAAGAGACTATCAAGATACACACATACACCTTATTTTATGCTTATCATTAAAATAGGAATTGCCTGAATGTAGAACCAACAGGATGATAGCCAATCCTTTTGTATTGATTGAAATGGGGGGGGGGGTGTTATAAAGCAAGACATCCTTTGGGTGCTTTCCCATGTTATTTTCTGAAAGAAGAAAGATGTGGGTTCTAATGGTGGGGAAGGAGAGCACAGCATCTAACTATTCATGTATATTCCACATTTCTCCTCATTTGGGATCCAAAGCATTTTACATTTTTCTCGACTCTTCTATTTTATCCTCACAACTATCCTGTGAGGTAGGTTAGGCTGAAAGTATGTGACTGGCCCAAGGTCACCTAGCAAGCTTCCAGGGCAGAATGGAAAATTCAAACTTGGGTCTCCCAGATCCTAGTCCAATAGTTAGCCAATATATCGCACTGGCTCAAAAGAAAATATTCTTTAAAAATTGTTTACAAAATATCAAAACATTTTGGGAGGAGGGTATTGTCGTGTTGGTGTGGATATCCTTTTTATTTTGGTTTTTAGAAGGGAGTGTTAATTGCTAATGAATTTTAAAAAAACAGAATGGAGCAACATCCTTGCAAAAGAAATTATGTGTTGCCAAATGATGTCTCGACTCCACACAACTCCTGAGCACTAACTGAGTATTTGTTGCATGATAACAATCATTTGGAGAGGCACCTAGATACCACTTATGATGCAGCCAGAAGGGCTAGTTCCCTTCCCTGAGTATATCCCATCTCTACCTGCTAAGCAGCAGGGGAAGGCTGATCAGCCCAGAATATAGCAAACACATTTCTAAAGGCCAGGGTGAGTCTTGAGGGTTTAGGGAGATAGAGAGAGAGTGAGAAAGAAGGGATCAGGTCAGCAAAGCTGGAATTTATAGAAACTCTGGGAATTAAACCTCCTCATAGGAAACTGCAAAAGGAAGGGCAACTTTTAGGTACTGGTCTCCAACCTATTTGAGTCTGTGGGAACCTCTGGAATTCTGACACACAGTGGTGGGTGCTACCACAAAATGGCCATCATGGTAGGTGCAGCCAATCTTTAAATGTCACAGATTGATACTCCATAACTCTGATAGTAAATCTTCAACATTTCAGACAGAAGTTCTCTAAAATGAACATACTGTTTAGCATCCTTGTGCTGTGGTGGCAGCTGCTGCGAAAGCAACATTTTAAATAATCTGCACAGCCAATCAGATCTCAGTGGCCAGTCGGAGCTCTGCTAGCCAAAAGCTGCTTTTGGCCCCATCCACGTTCTAAAAACACTTGGCAGGTGCCAGGAAAGGTGTCAGCAGGTGCCATGGCACCCATGGATGCCACGTTGCAAACCCTTGCTTTAAAGGATGAAGAGTGGCAGGGTTCTGCCATTAATCTCGTCCAATAAGCAGATTTTTCTCCAAAACAATGAAATGCATCCTTCCTTGCCTCCTGTAAGCCTCTTTGGTCTCACTTAAGCGTAATTTCTAGGGTTTAGGCACTGAGGCTGAATATGCATTTTGTTGCCCAAACGAGTGGTTATTCCAAGAAGAATTCTATTTTACCTTCTGGCAGGACTCAATGAATTCCTCGATGGTCACAACACCATCTTTGTTCCGGTCCATTTTCTGAAATGTGAACACAAGGACACAGAAATTGAAGGAAGGGGCCATAAGTGGTTCCTGGGAGGAGAGAATACCCTTAAGCACAAATAAGACAGCCACAGCACCCACAGTCAACAAGCACATCTCTAGCCTTGGGAGAAAGCTAATCAACAACTTTCATGTGCTTCTCAAAGGCGCTGCTGTCAGAAAAAGCCTTTCCCCCAATAATTTCAAGCATTCAAGGGTCAATGGGCTGGTGTTGCAAATGCAAAATATATGGAATAGATTATGGATGACTCAAACAAGGAAAACTGTGTCAATAGCCCTTAGGGAGAATTCTTTGAAACAACTGCATTGATGGTATATTACTCTGGTACGTCTTGCAAGAATAAGTAATACAAACAATCCAAAATGTTGGAGAAATTGCAGTCAGCAAGGCAATTACATCCACATGGTGGTCATGCCTGTAATGTCACAGTTTTGGGGGAAAATATTTACAGAAATGGAAAATATGGAAAATATGCATCAAATCATTTATGCCATGCCAGTGCTGGCCTTGTTAATAATTTGGGGAAAACAAAAAGGGAAATTGATATCCAAGGGATTAATAGTGTTTATGTTGATGGCAGCCCATAGGGTAATAGCAAAGTGTTGGAAATCTGCAGAACCTTTAACATTACATTACTGGTATTCTGAGCTATGGCAAATAGCTATGGCAGAAAAACTGACTATCACCTTAGAGTAGTCAAAGGTAAAGCTAAAATGTTAGATTTTTATGAAACATGGCATGATTTTATTTCCTATACAAATCAGAAAGCTATTCAACATCTATCCAAACCCTTCCTCAAATTATGGAGAAGGAATTAAGTATAAAGTATGAAACTCTGTCTCATTAATGCCCTCTGTCAATAATTTGATTCAACATTGTGTATTTTTGTCCTTTGTGTGTTCTTTCTTATAACCTAGTTTCTGTGTCTGTAATTTAGAAGGGTCTCCTTTTTTGTTGTTTTTGTCTTGAGTGGTGGTTGTTCTTTTTCTGTTTGAAAACATTAATAAAATCATATTTTAAAATACAATAATGTTTTAAAATAAAAAAACAAATGCAATCAATACTGGGAACATAACTGTATGCTCTGGAGAGGATGATGCCTAGAAGGAAAGGTGCAAGAGTGGAAAGGACAGTGCCTGGAAGAAGATTAAGGCTCCAGTAAGGCCCTGTGTTGAGACTTCCAGGGAGGAGACTCAAATATGAAGCCAAAAGTAACTTGCACTATACACTCCAGGATGGGTGGGTGGGAACAGGTTTTTATGACAGCAATAAACAACACTAACTGGTAAGTGTCCTGATTCTAGCTTCACCTGGAAGAAACTTTCCACATGCTCCTGTGGTGCGTCTTCTCGCATGGCCGGATATGTGTATTTGCCCATCATGTCATAAATGGATTTCATTATGTCCAACATTTCCTATGTCAGAGAACAGAAAAAGAATGAAAAAGAATAAAAATCATAAATCTCTTGCAGTACCAGGAGATTCGAGCATCTTCCAGATATCACTAGCTCCTTTTTAGTTACCTCTTTGGTAATGCAGCCATCTTTGTTCAGGTCATAGAGGTTGAAGGCCCAATTAAGCCGATCGTCTATAGTGCCACGTAGAATAATGGACAAGCCAGCCACAAAATCCTAGGAAGTAAGGGAGAAAACCAGGGTGAAGGAGTCATTATGCACTACAGCTGCAAACCCAATAGCAACGATCTGCCAGATCCCATTCACAGTTATTAGACTGAAGAATCCTCCAGGGGACAGAATTGTTCACCATTCAACAGTTTAATATTCTTACAGGGTTTTCTCTGAAGCTTCTTTCACTTGTCCCTTCATGAATCCTATGAGATCAGAAGTTCCTATTTAACAGCAATATCCACGGAGCCTCAAGAGCACATGGCAAATATTCTCCATAATCGTTCCACATCTGTGGAACTCCTTTCTTCTCCTGGGGGTTTGCTGGAGGCCTAGTCTGAAACACTTTGGACAGAATGGATATGGGAGGGAGGCTCCTGACAGCCCAAGTTTGGAAAAGGAGTAAGAAGGGAAACCAGTGTAACCCCAGATGGAAGCTCACTAGGGAGAGGTGCGCCTTTACCAGCAACAGAACGTAAAGAGTTAACCCAGGCTCTGGAGCAAGTGGAACCTAATCAGCAGCCAGGAAACCAATGAGAATAAGGCTGGCAAGGATTCTCAAGAGTGACCAGTCTCAATCAAGAGGCAGCGAGTACTAGGACTGGGAGACCAGAGGCAGGCTATCAAGCCAGTTCTCTGAGCGTCATCTGTGCCTCAGTTGGAGTTGCCAGAGGTTGCCATGACTTCCAGGCACAGGGACACACACACAATGCAAAAATAACCAAAAAAATTAGAGGCAGAGGAAGCTAATAAATAGGGTTGCCAGCTCCGGGTTGAGAAGATTCCTGGAGATTTGAAGGTGGAGGCTTGGGGAGGGACCTCAACAGAGTATAATGACATAGAGTCCACCCTCCAAAAGTGGCATTTTCCCCAGGGGAACTGATCTCTGTTGCCTGGAGTTCAGTTGTCATTCCAGGAGTTCTCCAGGCCCCACATGGTGGTTGGCAACCCTACTAATAAAAGCGGCGTGTAGAGAGGCAGGAGGGGTGGTGGCTGGGGAGCAGGCTGCAGAGAGAAAGCTGAACAGGCTGGTATGTGTTGGCTGATTCCTGCTTTAAACAGAGTTGGCCTAAAAGTGCTACAGCGACACCTAGTGGTTTCTGTCTGATTGCAGCAAAAAAGGTGAGAGTGTGGACAAACAGCCACCCCTAGGTCTTCTATGCCCCTCCTCGTCCAGGGATGGAGATGCTGAGGAGCCTGATGGACATAGGGGCTATGGAGTTGGCTGGAGAGCCGTGGGCTGCAGCCTTGGAGATGCAGTGTCATCTGTGCATCCGAGAACAGGCTGACTTGCTGCAGCAGCAAACCTGTAGAGGCTGTTAAAGGTGCAGCAGGAAGCACATCAGCAGTGGTGGGAACTAGTTCAACTGCTCAGGCAAGCAGCCCTAGTGGGAGCACGGACAATGCATACTGGTGCCCTCCCATAGGGAGCCCTACCACAAGTTGACCCAGCTGGTGAGAACCCCTGGCAAATACCATATTCTTGTACAGGCCCGTAGCCACACTGGAGCTCACAAGGGCAACACCCCTCCCAATTTTGCCCTGACCCACATCATTGGGCCCTCCCTCCCACTCAGCCGCCACTCGCCACCCAAGAGCAAGGTGGGGAAGTGGTGGGGAAGGCCTCAGCGAGCCCACCTGGGGCAGCTTCAGGTGAGCTGTTAAGAGAAGTGAGGGGTGGAGGGGAGCCTGGCTGGCCCACCCGGAGCAACTGCAGGCAAGCCAATGAGAGTAGAGGAGGAAAGGGCGGGGAGGTTGGCTGGCTGACCCGGAGCAGCTCCAGGTGAGCTGCTGAGAGTGGGGGTCTGGGAAGAAGCCTCAGAGAACCTGCCTAGAGCAGCACCAGGTGAACTGCTGAGACCAGGGGGGGGGGGGCTTGGCTGGCCCAACCGGAGCAACTGCAGGTGAGCTGATGGGGGTGGCAAGGTCAGCTGGCTCACCCGGAGTTGCTCTGGGTGGGCCAGCCAAGTGTACTAGTGGCTCACCTGGAGCTGCTTCGGGTGGGCCTGCTGAGGTCCCCCCACTCTCAGTGGCTCACATGTAGCTGGGCAAGCCTGTGAGGGAGTGGAGGAAAGGTCAGCTGGCTTGCCTGCAGCAGCTTCTGGAGAGCCACCGAGAGCAGTGGGGGGGGGAGTCTGACCCCCTTAATAAAAAAAATTGCCCCCCTACCAAAAATGTCTGGGTATGGGCCTGTTCTTGTATCAGCAAGATGGGGTCCAACCATGATCCTGAAGCCTACCTAAAACACCTTTGAACAAGTAGCTTGTGCTGGGATAAGGCACAGTGGGCCATGTTCTTGACACTGTGTTTCACTGTGGCATCTCAGGAATTGGTAGACACTCTCCTAAGACATGGCTGACTGTTGTTGTTCCGTCACACAGTCAAGTCCGACTCTTCGCGACCCCATGGACCACATCACGCCAGGCCCTCTTGTCTTCTGTCGTACTCCGGAGTTTGCTTAATTTCAAGTTCATTGCCTCGATAACCCTGTCTAACCATCTCATCCTTTGTTGTCCCCTTCTTCTTTGACCTTCAATCTTTCCCAGCATCAGGGTCTTCTCCAGTGAGTGCTCCCTTCTCATTTGGTGGCCAAAGTATTTGAGCTTCAGTTTCATTATCTGGCCTTCCAGGGAACAGTCAGCGTTGATTTCTTTTAGGATTGACTGATTTGATCTCCTTGCAGTCCAGGGGACTCTCAAGAGTCTTCTCCAGCACCATAATTCAAAAGAATCTATTCTTTGGTGCCCAGCCTCCCTTATAGTCCAACTCTTGCAGCCATACAGTACTACTGGGAATACCACTGCTTTGACCATACAGACTTTTGTTGGGAGGGTGATGTCTCTACTTTTTATTATGCTGTCAAGGTTTGGCATTGCTTTCCTCCCAAGGAGCAGGCGTCTTTTAATTTCATGGCTGCAGTCACCATCTGCAGTGATATTGGATCCCAGGAATGTGAAGTCTGTCACTGTTTCCACAACTTCTCCTTCTATTTGCCAAGGAGTGTTGGGGCTGGATGCCATGATCTTAGTTTTTTTGATGTTGAGCTTCAAGCCCACTTTTGCGCTCTCCTCTTTTACTCTGAGCAAGAGGCTCTAGAGATCCTCTTCACTTTCTGCCCTTAGAGTGGTATCGTCTGCATGTCTGTGGTTGTTGATGTTTTCCCCAGCAATCTTAATCATCCAGGCTGGCATTTCGCATGATGTACTCTGCATATAAATTAAATAAGCAGGGTGACAATATACATCCTTGTCGTACTCCTTTTCCTATGCTAAACCAATCAGTTGTTCCATATCCTGTTCTGTCGCTTCTTGACCCTCATACAGGTTTCTCAAGAGACATGTGAGGTGCTCTGGTACTCCCATCTCTTTAAGGACTTGCCACAGTTTGTTGTGATCCACACAATCAAAGGATTTAGCATAGTCAATGAAGCAGAAGTAGATGTTTTTCTGGTACTCCCTTGCTTTCTCCATAATCCAGCGAATGTTGACAATTTGATCTCTAGTTTCTCTACCTCTTCGAAACCCAGCTTGTACTTCTGGCAGTTCTCTATCCATGTACTGCTGAAGTCTAGCTTGTAGGATCTTGAGCATGACCTTGCTAGCATGTGAAATGAGTGCAATTGTGTGACAGTTTGAACATTCCTTGGCATTGCCCTTCTTTGGGATTGGAATGTATACTGACCTTTTTCAATCCTTTTCCACTGTTGTGTTTTCCAAATTTGCTGGCAAATTGAGTGCAGCACTTTAATAGCATCATCTTTTAATACTTTGAATAG